TTGCTGTTAATCCATCCAGCATGGCAGAAGAAGTGAGGGAGGAGTGGCCCCACACCAGCCTGCTTGCTACACAGGGTCACAAGTCATGAGGGTCACTGAGAAAGAAGTGATCTCCCAAATACTGACCATCCCCAGTCGCTGTCTTGGCAAGCCCTTCAAGGAAGTTGTGTCACCTAGGACAGTATTGCGGCTATCAGTGAAGGGTGCAGGCTGGCCTGGGCAGGGTTAATCACCCAGCCAGCCACCACAGGGGTCACCGTGATATGTAGAGAAGCTGAGCATCCCAGTCTCCCAGAGCTGGTCTGCTAATTACATTTGCAATTATAAACACCACAACCTCCCAGCACAGCAAGGCGGTCACACCAGGATGTCATCCTGTCCAGAAGCCCCTAGCCACACCAGGGGAGCCCAGGGCTAGTCAAATCCTACAGGAATGACCAGCTATGATGGTTTCCCAGAGGTCTGAGGCTGCCGGGACTGAGAAAGGAGACACACCAGAGATGAAGCTCCCACAGGGGTCACCAGCATGTACATGCTAAAAAGATCTTTTCTTTATCCCTAGAAATTAGCCACTGGCCTCCAGGGCTAAGATGTGTCTGGTTTCAATGCAGGCTCAACCTTTAACCTTTGTGGCTTCCCAAGACTGTTCTGTTGACCCTGCATTCCCAGTACCCTCCACAGTCTACGCACCATCTGGATGCTACAGTAGGTGAGGGCACCTGCATTTCTGTATTCAAACCAAACTGGGGTCCCTTTGACCCTATGACGGATGCTTCTCGGGGGATGTGATGCGAGGAGTCCCAGCTCACTGTGGGCAAACCTGGTCACATCCAGACAGAGGTGGACAGAAACTCAGTAATGGTGTAGAGGGAAGAAGGCGGCAGCCTGGAGGTGTTTAGGAGCATGGTTTGGGCTTTATTTTGAAGGGCTAGATTATGGTCAACATATCTCTATCTTTTCTCTGAAATTAGAATGACAAGGAGTCTTAATCATTTGGAGGAAGCCACTTAAGGCAGTATGGAGTGGGGGAGACAAGTTTTAGCAAGGGACACTACAAAAAGTCATGTCAAAACCATCCAACTCAAGTCTGTGCGCTGTCTTCCGAATCCACTCTCCTTTTGAATTCTACACATTCACAAAGCCAACTCAGTACACATATACACACACATTCCTTTTTGGTCTGCTAGAGTTGTGCAGATCTGTTCAATCCCCAAGCCCAAAAGAAGCAAGGTATTTTGCAGAGGGCAGAGGAAGGAGACAAACTTTTTCTCCCACTTTAGATTTATCTTTAAATACCACTGACCATACATCCAATGATCAGAAACCTGAATGAAGTATGCAGAAGCCAGTTACCAGGGCACCAAGCTGAGGCTGGGAGGAAGGGGGGGGCTCTCTGAGAAGGCTGTGACATGAAATCTCTGTCACAGCGACCTCCCTCGCTGCGCTTTCCCCGAAAGGCCCCTCTCTCCCTCCTTTCTTGGGCTAAATGGAATATTTATTGATTACTCCAAATCAATAGAATGAAAAGATTCCTGTTTGGTGGGCCAGGTTGTTTCTTCTTTCTTTTAAAGAAACAGATCTTTTCATAGATTTTAATTATTGGTAGAATAGAAGAGTATTTCTAAAATAAAGGAAGTGAGGAAAATAAAAGGCCCCAAAAGGAAATTTCCAGTTGGTGACCAGCTACCACTCAGCTGGAAAGGCTATACCCGGACTGGGGCCCTCCGCCTGCATCTAATGTTTTCTTTTAGTTTATTGCCCTCGGGCCTCAGCAATACCAACCTCCTATCATATCACCCCATCTTCACCCCCAGCTCCCCCAGCTCCAGATATGTGGCAGCCATAGAAAGGCTTATTACGTGCACCCCTTTCCCTTGCAAAACCAAGACTAATGCCCCACTCTGATTTATTTTTAAATGTACCATTAAAAATTAATTTCCCCTCTTTTTTTTTCTCCAGGTCACTGATTCTGAATTACCATGTGGCATTTTTCCTACGTGTGAACCCACATATTTTATTGTCAGGACAGTTTGTTCTTTGTTTCTTTAACAAGAAAAAACTGGTCATCGGACAGTGGGTAAAGCCACCCACCCCCCTGGCACACTGGGTTTCTCACTGAGGGTCTCTGGTGAGTCTGGGTATGGCCACGTTGGTACACAGGCACACACACAGACACACACACACACAGGTACATTCACTCCTGCTCCAGCTGATTATATATGTACATAAAATATTGATTAGCAACGGTAATGGAGTCACCTACAGGAGATGGAAATGAAACAGAGAAAGGTATGAAGGTCTGTATGAGTCTCTCAGTGTAGGTGTCGGTGTCTCACCTGGGGAAGTAGGGCCAGCAGTAAAGAATTAACAATGTGTTCTCTGTGTGCTGGTGGGATAGCTGAAAGGATCTTCCTCTCAGAACTCTGGTCCCTGTACCTTTGGGTTTTTTCAAGCCTGGGAATCTGCAAATCAACTAATCCACACAGGTGTGTACAGAGCATAGGAACCCATTTGTGCCTGTTTTCACCAAGAAACCCTGGCACCCACTGGGCTGAACGGGTTCATTCAACTGCTCTTCCAAACAAACCAAAGAATTCAGCCCTCTGCTTTGTTACTTTGCTTTCTTCGGCTCTACACCAACCTGTCACAGAGCTCTGGGGTGGAGGTCAGAAAGACGCTTCCTCTCAAACCAGCTTCTGACCTCCATAAGCTGTATTTGGAAATGATGTACCCATACACCCCAGCATCCACAAGCCTTCATGGTGAGGCACACATCTGTGTATGGGGGCCAGCTCACCGTTCTCCTGGCTGCTCCCCGCAGGTCCCAGGCTTTGAGAAATGGCTTTATCACCTGAATACTTAGTTGCTCAGTGGAGACAGCAGGTAGATCTGTGGCTGATCATGGGCCCCATGAAGTGAGAAGTTAATTTTTTGGCAAAGAAATCATGAAGGATAGGGAATTGGTCAGACTTAGTTTATATATGCTTTGCATTCCAAACCCTTCCCAGACACTCAGGACCTCAGCCCCCTCAGCGCCCTTTCTTGGTTTCTGACATTCCCTCTTTGCCCATATTTCTCCTGAGAACTCAAGCCAGGCTTGCCGTCAACTGGATGAATGATCCAGCTGTTTGAGTCTCCATCTCTCCTTGCTTTCCTGGTCAACACAATCAAAGGACATACTTTCCCTAGATGAATTTTCATATTTATTGACTATGACTTGAGCCAGGGACAAATACATAGGTATTTCCAGCTCAACTGAAGAAGTCACCTCTGAGGAGAAGGAGCCTAAATAATTTTTAAATGAGGAGTGCATGGTAATGTTATGTGAAGAAATGGTCCCACGCACATCAATCACCATCCACAGCCTCACTTACCCGCCTCCCCAGGTTTCTGTAGGATGAGCATTGGGCAGTATCACCTTGCAACCCATCCCCAGTGTAACCTTGAAAGACAACGAAAAGCCACTTTTCAAGCTGATGAAAATCAGAATACAGAGTAATTGAGGATTTCCCCTCATCTCCCAACCCTCTCTGGAACACGCTAAATGGTAGCAGCTTCTAAAGGAAATCCTAAAACTAGAATCAGAAAGCTCACCGCAGAAGCTGGGGCTGTCCAGCCATCCACTACGGCAGCAAGAAGGTGGTTAAGCACACTCCCGGAAGCCCCCACAATACCAGAGTATTTATTTCATGGGGTGGGGAGTGGCAGGCAGCGGGAGGTACAAAGGATGGAGAAGCTACACAGAGGCTGAGTTGGATAGTTGAGCTTGCTTCAGAAAACCCAGCAAGAAGTTAAAGAAGGAAAACTATCCCGGGGAGTCTAGCGTTTTCATTTTATTGCCACTTTTTAAGCCTTAGGAGGGACCCAGACCTCACGTGCATGTATGCACCAAATACACCCGAAACCAGTGACCAGCCCAGGGCGCAGCGGGACTTGTCTAGAGAAGGGACCAGGGCAGGTGGAGGCGGCGGCGCACACAGACAGCGCTGGAAGGCAAACTGCGGATGGCCAAAGCGGGAACCCAAAATTGAGTCCAGCCAGGGCACGCAGAGAATCACCCACCATTCGGAGGGCTACATCCATCAGGTTCCCATTCTGCGCACACTGTGCGCTGCCTCCGGAGGGGAGCCCGCGGTTCCTGGCAGTCCCATCCTGCAGCCCCGACCGACGCCCCCGGCCACGCCTCTTGGACGATCGTAAGTTGCCGTGCGAAGCCGGTCCAGGCAGGGACATCGTGCCTGCCAGGTGCCAGGTGTGTTATTTCTGTATGGCGCAGTCGTTTCCTAAGCCGCGAACCAACTTTGCTTTGGATGGGGCGTGGGGCAGTCGTCCCCACTCCTGGCGGAACGCAGTCTCCCCTTGCGGAGCGTACCAAGCGAAGAGCGCCCAGGCCCACCACCCGCACCCCTGGGAGCCTTGGGTCCTCCCTCTGTTTTCAGGAGTGCGCGCCCTCGGGGTGCCCCAATGGAACCGCGGGGCGAGCGCTGCACCTGCCGCCTGCAGTTTTCAACCCTCGGAGGCAGTTCAATCTCTCCCCTTTGCCGGGACCATTTCTGGTTCCCAGGGTAGAAGTAAATTAATAAAGCCAAAGCGGCCGCTGGAGGCTTTCTTGGGCAGGACAAGACATCCTGGTGACCACATTCCTGCACCTGTTCTGGGCCTGCTCCTCCCCGCTGTACAAAAACTCAAAAGATTTTCTCACCACGGATGAAAATCAGAGAGGAGAAAGAAAGGAAGAAAGAGTGAGGAAAAGCTGCTCTGGCTGAAAAGTGAAGGTTTGTAAATGCGGGTGCGGGAAAAGTTAGAGGTGGGTTAATACCCCGAGAAGAAAACCCAGGAAGTGTGCGGATTGGCCCCTTCCAACGTCCCCAAGTACCTCCCGGGATCCCCGCCACTTCAAGAATGTCTAGCAGAATTGCGACACCCAGGGCAGAGATAACCCGACGGACAGAAGGGCAGAGACAGAAGGACAGACAGACCGACCCGAAGCCGGGCGGCACCTACTGGTTGTGGTAGCCGAGCGGGTCCGGGATGCAGAGTTCGGACACGTCCATCAGTCCAGTTTTAGCATTCCCAGTTGGTGGAGAAAGGTGGCGCGCAATCACGCGGAGGAGCGAGTGAAGGGCACCGGCGAGGGGCACGGAGAACAGTGGGAGGAAGCGGCGCGGCCAGGAGAGAGGCAGGCAGAGAGCTGTGAGCACACAGACTCACGCTCCCACTCATCCAGACGCTCTGAGGCGGGCAGAGGGGATGGGAAGCCAGGGAGGAGACTCGGGCACCAGAGACTTGGAGTCCACTAACCCTACTGTAGCTTTAAGACTAGGAGACTGATGTATGGTTTGGCTCCTATTGGCTATCTCTCGGGGGCTGGACTTAAAGTGACAGAATCAAGCAGGGGTGGGGGGAGGGGGGTGAGCCAGAGAGACTTCAATGGAATTAGAAGCTCCAGAAAGGTCCCCACCCCCTGGGGAGCAGAAGAACTGGGTTGTAGAGCCGCTAGGCCTGCCCCCCCCTTGCTAGTAAAGAAAGAAAATATTCAGCTGGCCAGTGGGACTTGGGATATGTGGGGGCGATTAAAGATTTGCTGCCAGCGCACCCCACTCAGCATCACTACCTCTCAAGCTTTGGAATGGATCTGTTTGCCAAATCAAAAGGAGTTACATTTTTCCATCTGTGCATGCTTGGGGAAAAGAGGCCAGCACCAGCCACATTCATAGTCTCTACTGGGTTTGGGATACAAAAGTGCCAAGGGTTAGACCAGCAGGTGAGGCGGGAGATTCCCTGCTCAGCTCTGATGACCTAAGTGACCAGTTCTGAACTCTCCTCACAGAGCTAGCTTTAAGGTGTGTATAAAGAAAACGTTCTCTTAATGCAGGAAAAGAATGTTCTACTCATTGGCAACTCTCTGAAATGTACCTAGGACACAGGACCCAGTAAATAAATTCCTGTCTGCTTTAGATAATACAATTGTGGTTAAAACATCCACTCAGAGACACAAGTAGGCCCTTTGAAATGTACACCTGAATCCCCAGCTAGGATCACACCTGCATCTGTCTGTTGCTCCCTCCACAATCCCAAATATTATGGGCCGTAAAATAAGCTGTAAATCACACCCATTCTTCCTAGGGGGGCTTTTTCATCTTTTGAGATATGCCAGCCACAAGGATAATAATCAATTTGATGATTCAAATGAAGAAGGAGAAGGTGTCGAATTATTTAAAAGGAGGGGGAGGGGCCCTCTGGAGAGACCACCACCTTCTCATCAAAATAATGCCTAAATGCATTCTAACTGCAGGCAGTGCTCACAGACTTCAGGAATAAAAGCAGGGAGGTTGTGGAAAGCCCTGGAGGCTGGGGAATTGGGCATCAGGACAGCAGATGAGATCTGACTTGGATAAATGTAAGCTTGCACAGGCTGAGAAGCAGAGCTGAGATTTTTCATTTGTGCTGAAGTGAAGGAACACGTGGGATTCTCCAGGTCGCAGGACTCAGGAAGGGCCCTCAGAGAGAGATGAATGAAGTTGTCTGCTCAGGCCAGTAGGCAGAACCCCCAGCAGCCCTAGGTTTGGTCTTTATATATATATACATATTAAAAAAATCAAACAGGTAGTTGGTTACACGTGAAGGGTACAGACACACACCTGGTTTCTAATGGCCATCATCTCTTGCCAAGACCTCAGCGCCTCTCTTCTCTGCATCCTTTCTGGTCCCCTGAAAACATTCTCCAATCACAGCAGACACAGAGCACTTGGTAAAATGCACATCTAATGCTCCCTTGTTGCTCTTAGGAAAGAAAAGAAGGCAAACCAGTTGCAGTGGCGTCAGTTCTGACTGATGGTAACTTTATATGTGTCAGAGTGGGACTGGGCTCCTAAGACTGTTCACTTGTTGAGTTTTGGGAAGTAGACCATTAGATCTTTCTTCCAAGGTGTTGCTGTTGTTATTAAGTGCCACTGAGTCGATTCTGACTCATAGTGACCCTGTATAGGATTTCTGAGGAGCAGCTGGCGGGTTTGAACTGCTGACCTTGTGGTTCACAGCCCTGTACTGATCCTACAGCACCACACCAGGCCTCTTTTATTGTTGTTGTTAAGTGCCATCCAGTCGGTTCCGATTCATAGAGACCCTGTATAGGGTTTCCGAGGAGTGGCTGGTGAGTTTCAACCAACGACCTTGTGGTTCAAACCGACCTTGTGGCCCAATGCTTATCCTACAGTGTTACAACAGGTCTCTTTGTTGTTGTTAAGTGCCATTGGGTTGGTTCTGACCAATAGCGACTCTGTATAGGGTTTCCGAGGAGCAGCTGGTGGGTTTGAACCACTGACCTTGTGGTTCAAACTGACCTTGTGGTCAAGCACATTATCCTGCAGTGCCACATCAGGCCTCTAGGTGGACTCAAATCTCAAATCCCCAACCTTTCATTTGGCAACTGTGCACATTAACTGTTGGTACACCGCAGGGCCCAAAGCTTTCTGAGAGCTTATAAGGCCTCACTTGCCTGGGTTCTGTATACTCTCTCTGTCCCTCTCATTAAATGCTACTCTTCCTGCAGATCCAACTTCACACCTACCACCTAGAACACCCCACCAAGCCTTCTGCTCTTCACGTTGCTTCTGGTAATTTCCCACAATTAGCCATTATACGTGTACCGGTGTGAGTCATACCTTCCTCCCCCTACTTCACTACATGATATGCTTCACGAGGGCAGGAACTGTGCCTGGGAACCCCCAGTGCTAAAGAGGCCTGGAACAAAGCAGTTGCTTACTAAAGTTTTATTGGATGAATTGTTAAACCATAGCAGTTGGGATGGGGTGCCTGAGCCTACTGAGGGACAGGTCAGCTGTCCAGGAAGAGGTCAGACCGGACACTTGTACAGGATCAGTTTAGGTGGACACACAGAACACACTGACAATAAATGCCTCTCCTCACAATAAAAAAGAAAGATAACTTTGCAGTTCTGAACAATGGTTCAAAGTCTCTGGGCTAAAATACCCACTTAGGTGAGGGTTCAGTGGTGGAATTCTCATGTCCCATGTGGGAAACCCAGGCACAATGCTCCTCTGGCTTAGCCTGCTAGGATCCTGGACAGTTTTCAGAAGTCCTGTCAGACTAGGGAGAAAGGCTTGGTGATCTACGTAGGGAAAATTCAGGACCAGGCTGTATTTTGTTCTGCTGGGATCCCCAAGAGTTGGGGGCTACCTGGAGGGAACCAACAACCATAAATATTCTCTGCGTCCCAGGCCCAGGTCACAAGCACCTCCGGGCACTGGCTGATTGTCCTCTAAGGCAGGACTGATGTCCTTGAAGTTCAGTTCTCCTCAGCCATCCCTTCTCTGCCAGTTTGCGCCCAGCCTCCTCTTACTCCACCCTGGGGCAGAGTTCTTTTTTCTTCTCCCTGGCAATTGTGAGCTTCTGGAATCTGCTATAGGGGAGATGAAGGCCAGCAAGCCAGGATACCCCAGTGACCTGGTCCAAACTGGCAGGTCCAAGTTTCTCCTGTGGTTCTCCAGGCAAACCTGACCCGGTCACACATTGTTCACGGGACTAGCCTTCCTCCGACTCTGTCCTCAGTCAGCTCACGCAACACAAGATTCCTTTCCAAAGCCTGGGTCAGGTTCCATGACTCGGCTGGAGAGGCGGTGTCATGGGATAGTGCAAAGGACTCTGGGATCCAGTCCTGACTACTCCATGTGACCTTGCCAAAGTCATCTCTTCCCCAGAAAGCAAAGGCAGGTGCAGAGGTGGGGTGGGGTGGGCCGAGCTCTTGGGTTCCTTCAAGCTTGAAATTCATTCAACCAATTATGATTTCTTACCTGTACTGCCCACCTAGAACAAGTGTCATTAGTAATCCATTTCTAGCTAAAGCGTAAGCACCCCTCTTCATTACCCCATACCCCAATACTGTCACCCCCAAGATGGGTAAGTCAGCCTAAAGGGAATAGGAACAAATACTTTCAACAGAGTACGTGTGGCAGGTGTAAGGTGCGAGCAGCTTATGTTATTATGGTGCCAGGCTGCTTTAAATAGGTATTTATGCCATTTCCAGGACCTTACAATTAGGAGGGCTCAGAGAATCCTTGAGAACCATCACCAGATTTTACAAATAAGTAAACGAAGCCCCTGAGTGATGAAGTGACCTATCCAAGGTCACACAACAAATAATTGGCCAAGCATGCCATTTGTGGTCTCTGGATTTCTACTTATTTGACTCTAAAGTGTTTGTAAACAAATGTCTTCCCTCTCCCTCCGTCCTCCTGCCCTGAGTTCCCAGTCCTTCCTATGGAATATCATGCCAGATAGTCCCAGTGGCAACGCTAACCCCCACACACTTCGCCTGGTAGACAGTGGGGACTCATGTTTCTCCAAACGTGTCCTAGAGAGGAAAAAGGAAGCTCTGATTGATGGTCACCAATTTCATGATACTGATTATCCCGCTGTAAGCAATTCTTCACGGGGTAGATAAGGAGGAAAGCATATCCATGCACAGCCAAACCCACTGGGATCCCCAAATCTGTACTTCTCTTGTTGTTGTTGGTAAGTGCTATCAAGTAGGTTCCAACCTATGGCAACCCTGAATAGGGTTCCAAGGAGCGGCTGATGAGCTTGAATCGTCGACCTTGCTGTTAAAACCGACTTTGCAGTCCAGCACATTAACCCACAGCACCACACCAGGACTCCTGTACTTCTCTAGATGCACAAAATACCGAGCCTGTCATGGATCTAACTGAACATAGGTCCACACTGACCCACCCAGCAATGGGCTGTCCTAATGCCTGGACCAGGATCTGGAGGGTCACTTGAGCCATCTTGCTATGATCTATGCAGTTGACCCCAGTACCCTCTGCTAAAGGTTTGGTGAAAATCTCCACCCTGAATAGGAGGTGTGAATCTTCCCTCTCTCAATACCAGTTTTGTGCAAGGCAGCAACAGGTAGTAGCTCAGGTTCTTGAATTTCCCTCCTATGCCATGCTACTCTAGGGCCCATAATAAAAGGAGGCTCTTTCGTGCATCCAGCCAGCAACTTAGCAGGAGCTAGTGGGCTCAGGTTAGATCTCGGGAGAGAAAGAGGACTTGATGGTCTCTTCA